TTGGTTTATTTTTTTAGTGGGATTAAGAATAAATCTGACTCTGAGTTCTGACCAGAACAGAACTGATCGTTTTGTTTGTTTGTTTTTCTAGCAGAAAAGAGAAATCGGGAAGAATAAATCGTAGAACAGCAAACGTACACTAACAACTGAACGTTTGGCAACATCATAGCGTGTTCCTATTGTTCTCCATTTGGCCTCCAGATTGTGCCCCATGTCTTGTAGACGGACCCACTTTGTGATTAGTAGACTTGACAAATTTGGCAATTAATGACTCATCATAGTTCTGATCTTCATATAAAACAGCATGCAGATGTCTCTGTGTAGCAAACTGAGGTAAGTGTGCAGGTTAAAGACTTTGTCTGCAAATGAAGTGGTATCCTGTTTACTCCCGTGTATCCGAGCATTTCCTTTTCACAGTGGAAGAGTTTCTTTTTAATGTTTTGTAAAGATTTCAGGTGCATGTGTTTATAACAGTTTATCATATTTAACCTTAATCATACTGTTACACTAGTTTTATTGTTTCATATTTGAAACAAACATTCAGTCATCCACCCATTCTTACACTGGTGTGATGTTTAGGTTAGTCTACCACTTAGTGAAGCTCCTGGTCTCATTGTCATTTCTGAACTGTTTGAGAACTGATTCTCACCTGCCTGTGTCCACATTTGTGAGGATATACTATCCATACTGCAGATTGATACACTGTTTCCTGTTTTGCAGTGACATGGCTTCTGAGGGAGCAAGGTTACGTCGCCTCTTTGCCTGGTTTGACCCTGAAAGTGTTGCGGTGAGATTTAGACACAGCTGCTTGACTGAAGCTCACTTGTAACTTCATATATATTATTCAGTGGTTGTCTTTTGCACATCTTTGTTTGCACAGGTGCTCACCATCCTGTTGGGGCTGTTCCAGGTGCTCTTCTCTGCCCCGTTTGCTTACATTGACCAAAGTCTTCCAAAACTCTTCATACTGCCACTAGTCTTGGGAATTGTGGTATGTACTTCATGATTCCTCCACCAATTTGCAGCCATAACGTAACATTCACACACATTCACTCTCTGATGGACGCTTCAGAGAACAACTCTGGGTTAGTATCTTGCCTAGGATC